ATATAATATCTAACTAAAAATGATTTTATAAAAAATTAAACAAGATAAATTATTCAATTTTTAAATCTATAAAAAATAAAAAAATCAATTATTTTTAATACATGTTAATTCTTTCATCGGATTGAAAAAACTCTTTAATTCATTTCGATAGTGAATTAACAAGTCTTTCATATGATTTTTTGGTATTTTATACTTTTCATAAAAATATTTTTTTAATTCTTTCATGTTTTGTGGTATTTTTTCATTGACTTTATTTTTAAAAATATCATAAATTTTCTATTGAATTAGATTTTGTACTAATAACTCTAAAACTTCTATTTTTTATTAAAAAACCATTGATTAAAACATTCATATATTCAAATTTTTATCATCATACCTTTTATCCCTTATTATTTTAATATAAATGAAGCCATTTAATTCAAATAGGTTTTTTAAATCTCTTCTAACTATAAAAATTTTTCAAAAATCTACTGTATCTAAAGGATGTTTTTTTGTAAACATAAATCTTAAGATATGTTTTTAAATTTTTAAAAAGGGTTTTTAATAATTTAAAAATAAATAAATCATCATAATTCAATACATTTCTGCATGTTTTTATTTTGTTTAATGATATATTAAGCTTTTTAACCAATTTTCAAATTTCTATTCATTTTATTCTTATTAAAATTTATTTCTTATATTTAAAGATTTTTAAATGTGTATATTTTTTTATTAAAATTATTTATTAAAATATATCTTTTTTAGAATAAAAAAATCAGCTAACTTATATTAAATATCTTTATAATTTCAAAATTCTTTATATAAATATGTTTATTTTATCTTCTTTAGTAACATATTTTGACATTTACAATATAATCTAAAATTATTTAAAAAATCAATAAAACATCCTTCATTTTTACAGCTATAAATTATCAAAAAATGTTTTTAAAAAATCTTTTTGATTGGACGTTATAGTACAAATAAAAAACAATTTAAAATGAAATTTTCTTAAAATACTATTTAAAACAAAAGTTTAAATTAGCCACATTAATTTTTTTACTACTTTATAAATTTATATTTGTACTTTTTGTTACATAACCATAACCATCTTTCTTATATAATGTATATTCCCCTCTAAATTGTCATGCTTTTCTGATTATCCCACCAATGATTGATATTAAAACATCTTTGGTATTAAAGAGAATTTATTAAATAAACCCATCTTACAATAAATGATTTTAAACAGTCAATAAAATGTTTCATTATATTTTAAACTTACACATTAAAGCCAATATTTTAAAAAATTTTTTAATATTACGAAAAAATATAAGAATTAAATTTGAAGTTATTTAAATTATCTTTTAAGTAAATTAAATGTTTAAAAATATAAAATATTTGTAGTTTGATAAAAGACTCTTAAAAATACTTTTTTATAAAAAATTGAATTTTAAAATTAAATTAGTTTATTGTTTAAATCAGGATAAAATAATTTTTTAACAACAATAATTTTTATAAATTATAAAATATTATAAACACATTTTAATATTATAAAACAATGTTTATTATGGAAAATCAAACATTTTCAAAATTAATATCTGTTTTTTACTTAAATCTAAAAATCGATTACAAATATAAAATAAAATAATCCAATATTAAAAGAATTTTAAAATATA